AGCTGGTAAAGAATCTTCCTGCAATGCGGGAGACCTGGGTTCAATCCCTGGGTTGGGAAAATCTCCTGGAGAAGGGAACAGCTACCCACTCCAATATTCTGGCCTGGAGAATGCCATGGACTGCACAGTCCATGGGGTCGCAGAGTCAGACATGATTGAGCGACTTTCACTTTCAATGAATCAGATTATGCTGATACCAACTTTGGAGAAACTGCTGACTCTGAAATAACAAAACGAGTAAGAACACATTTTAAAAATCCCACTCAAGGCTTCCCTGGTGGCTCAGAGGTGAAGAAGCCACCTGCCCACGCAGGAGGCACAGGTTGGACCCCTGGTCCGGGAAGCGTGTGCTCCAACTACGGAACCTGTGCCCTAGAGCGTGGGAACGGAGACTGCGGAGCGCACGTGCTGCAACTGAGGCCTGCGCGCCACAGAGCGCAAGCCCTGCAACAAGCCACCGAGAGGAGCAGCCTGCCCACACACTTCAGCGACAGTCATCCCCGGGCACTGTACAGAGTAAAGCCCATGCGGCAGTGAAGACCCAGCATAGCCGAAAAAAATCCCTCTCATCACTCTGACCTAACAACTACGGAAATCTGTCTGCATCTTAATCATATCTATACAAACGGGCTAAGAACAGGGTATGTAAGAAAGCTAGTAACTAGTGCCCTCTAAAGCTCTCTCTGAAGAAGTCTAAAGAGAAGAGTGCAGGTTCTCCTTCACAGGTTATCAGTTATAATGATCCATATCACTGGGAAATCCGCCTGCAATGCAGGAGCCGCAGGAGACTCAGGTTCGATCCCGGGGTCAGGAAGATCTCCTGGAGGAGGGCATAGTGACCCACTTCAGCATTCTTGTCTGGAGAACCCCATGGACAGAGGAGCCTGATGGGCTACAGTTCATGGGTCTCAAAGAGTCAGACACGACTTAAGTGACTAAACAGCAACAGATGACTGGGAAGGTGGCATACCATCCACAGGGCCTCAGGGTCATAAGAAGAGCCGAAGAGCACAGCAAAGCTTCCCACTGTCTCTGTGGCTCCACGCTTCTTCACCTGGTCTTTAGTTACTCCAGCTGCATCAACCCTCGTGATGGCCCGCTGGTCCAGCACCTCACTCACGCTTTCTTCCCTTATGTTTGACAGCGTTTCTCATCGTCTGAAGAGTGTACCTTTAGCTGAAGATGTGCGTATTTGAAAGGTGGAAAGACAACTCTTTACATACATCTGCTAACTCAGGAAGCCCAAATAATTTGAAAATAGTCCTCGACAGTCATCAATCAAGTACTTAATCAAGTACTGAGACGACACCAAGGGGTCGGGTAAGCTCCAGCCCGCAGGCCCGGGCCTGTTTCTGTAAAGTTATCCGGGACCACGGCTCCATGAGCTTGTTTACAGACCGTCCCCGGCTGCCTTCCAGGCGCAACAGCAGAGCAGCTGTAACGGACAGCGTGAGGTCTGCAAAGCGTGAAACATTCACCATTTGGAGCTTTCCCGAAAAAGTCTGCCAGCCTCTGTACCACACCAGAGTTTCCCAATCTGAGAAAGTATATATGTATATTACACTACTGGGTGTGTGTGTGTGTGTTCAGTCATGTCCGACTCTTTTGAGGCTCCATAGACGGTAGCCCGACAGGCTCTTCTTGTCCATGGAATTTTCCAGGGAAGAATTCTGGAGCAGGTTGCCATTTCCTCCTCCAGGGGATCTTTCCAACCCAGGGATCGAACTCGTATCTCTTGCATCTCCTGCACTGGCAGGTGATATATTCAGCCACACTGGATTGTTCTCAGGAAAATCATCCAAAAAACGTTATGAGAAGCTTCCCCTTTGTCATCCCTTTTAAAACATCTTACATCCCCAGTACCACACTCAAGCCACACCAAGTATAAAGGGTTACAAATATTCAGATTTTATTATAAATAAAATACTGTTCTTTTTAACATAAAAAATGCCAAGTGTTGCATTTTTTTTTACCACCCTGGAGAGCAAGACCGTAGAGGTTAAGGCAAACAGCTCAAGTGAAGGCACATGAAAAAGGGCCACAGTTGGAATTTAAAGGGAAACTTCCAGGGAACAGCTGTGTATGTTCCCTGCGACACCCCGCATTCTGCAGCAGCCACCCTGTCAGTTTCATTACATATAATACAGATAACTGGAACTATACAATAATGGCTATATTGCAGGAGTGTAATGAAGGTATCCTTTTATAAAGAACTTTTATTTAAAAAATAAAATTCTGTTTAAAAATATACCACATAGATGGAAAAGGAGAAAAGAACCAACCCATCTCCCCAATTTCACTGTGGCCTAAGACTTACTGTAATGAATCTGACCCACAGGATAGGTGGGAGAACCACCTTCGTAGTCTATCTTCAGTCCTTTTCCTGCAACCTTGACCAAAATGTCTACTGGGATGTGACCACATAACAAGAGGAACTAGCTAGGAAACACTGATGTGAACACTTGGCAAGAAAGAGTCATGCCTCCTGTGATGGGAGAAGAGGCCTGAGAGGAGGAATAGAGTGATGCCAGGTCAAGACACTGCTAAGTCAACTCTGGGATGCAAGGAGAAGACGGAAAGGAGAAGAATGAGGACAGACCACCTCTCCCACTCTACCTATCCATAGCATGATCCCTGATGCCTTACAAGTGCTCAGTAATTATGCACCTCTCTATCAAAATAATCCATCCAGTCCAAAAACAACTGCCAGAAAGGATATTTCCAGCTCATCCCTGCCTAGGCTCACACTGAGGGTGAAGATGGCCTTCAGCACGTTTTCCCAATTTCAGCATTCCCTGTCAACCTGGTGTTCCTGCTCTGGGGCAGGCGTTAAGAACACTATGCTGTGGTTGAGGACCACCAGGACCGCAGTGGAAGAGGGTTCCAGGTACCTCTTTCTCGTGGCTGTGTGTGGAGGAAAGCAGGTGGATGTGAATGTCAGAGAACAGACACGCTGCAAACACAAGGCAAAAGCAGACCAATGGGGAGCAAATCCAATCCAAAGAACGGCAGATGGAAGAGGAGGAGGTATACGGACGCACTGTGCCGGTGAAGAGGAAAAATGAAGTGAAGAAGTGAACGGACAGTGTCATTCCAGAAACAGGACAAGGGTATTTACATAAACTTCTTACTCTAAAATCATGATAAACAAACAAAAAAAAAACATTCACACAAAAATATAAATTTGAAATAATTAATAGCACCAGTGTGTCAGATAATAGTTTCTTTCCCCCGCTACGCAAAGTACAAAGTTGCATAGTGTTAAAGGCTATATATGAATCTTGAAGGCGGGCTGGCAGGAGGAGGAAGGGGTTTGTGGCAGAGAATCGTCACGCTGTGATCTTGGAAGAAAATCACAGAGCTGAGGATCAGAAGTTGAGAAGCCCATTAGGAAACTCCACGTAAGGGCCTTCCGTCTACACTTGGAGGGAAGGTCTAGAGGTGGTGTACATCACAAAGTGCAGGAACTAGATGGTGTTGGCAGCTGCATGAAGTACTGAGTGCAAGTATCTGCCACCAGGATTTGGCAAACAATGTGTTTTGAGGGATTCTACGTGATGGGAACATCAGAAGAAAACTGAAACTGAAAAAAAGGGTCTAATATTTCATCTCTCCCCAATGGAAGAAAAATGGACACGTGGGATCCTGACAATGCAAGTCACATCTAAGTTCTATCCCTTTGCTAGAAAAGACTAGGACAAGGAGGCTTTTGCTTTGTTTGTCAAGATCTTAAGGACCAACCACCATCCTCTGCCAGGTAACAACACTAGTTCCAAAACTAATCTACTAAAAAAAAAAGCTCTAAGAATTAGTTTGATTTTGAAAAAAAAAAAAAAAAAAAAAAACTTTAGTGGTTATCATATCCCTATTTCTTCTGTATAAATTCCACTTATAGGAATAGAAGGCGTCTGTTGGTGAGTGCAAGCTGCCCGTTGCAGATTTAAAGTATCAGCTGCCCAAAGATCTGAAAAAAGTTTATCTTCCTAGTCAATTATTAACATCTGAGAAAATGTTCGGCCTACTTCTGCAGTCTCATATTCTCCTTGGAGACTGTCATAAATCATTGCATCCTTACCCGTGGATGGCTCAGTGTCCTAAACTCAAATAGCTAAAACAACTGATGATGGCTCTCAACATTCTGAATGACCAATACCTTTGGCACAGGAGGTGTATCTCCTTTTTGCTTAAAGGAGGAGGGGCGGGAGATGTAGATGCATTTTCTTTGCCTACAGACTGGATATACTGGCCATCACAATGCTACTGTTAGTAGCCAAACTTTTCCTTCATAAAAACAAGAGTACTGAGACTGAGGAGGTTCTGCTGGCATCAGTGAGAAAGGGAGGGCTACTTGCTCAGCCCTGGCATACAATGGTTCCCACGAAGTGTTTAAGCCACTGTACAGCAATGCAGGATGCCACGTCCTTATGCGACTCGGAAGGGACAGGTGGGTCTGAGGGAGTGCCGTTAAGTGGAAGAGAGACTTTATTAGATAGAACCCTTTGTTCCTGATTCACGATGTTTAATTTGCTTCTCTTTAAAACTTTGTGACTTTTCCTGGTTCAATAGGACAGTGGTGGAGAGCAGCAGAGAGTGGGGGGCAGGGGTCTGAAAAATGCAATCGTCGTGTGAAGGCACTCTGTGGCCTCACAGTGGCTCCCTACGGGGAGATGCTAGGGCTTCTCAATGGACGGGGTGTTGAAGCAGCCGGAGGGTAAGGTCTTCCTGATGTCCTCCAGGTTTCGGATGTCCTTCAGGATGTCCTCGATGTCTCGGTTATAGTCCAGGATGGCAGCCTCCTGCTTCCTGGCTTCGTTCTCCAGGTTGGACACCTTCCTGTCGAGATCACTGACTTTCATTTCCTCTTTGGCTTTGTTCAGGGTGCCTTCAATCTCGTTTAACTTGTTCAGGTCCACTGTGTCCAGCTGCCCTACAGAGTCAGAAGAGAGACGCATTTAGTACAATTATGACATCACTCCACAAGTACTGCCCCCCCGCCCAAACCCACCAGCCTCTTTATAAAGGAAGACCAGCAGCTGCCATTATACAAAAGCGGCCTGAGAACTAGACACCTAACTAATGAGAACATACTGGACAGCAGAGAGAACTCTGCTTAATGCACTGCGGTGGCCTCGATGGGAAGGAAGTCCAGGAGGGTGGGGACGCATGTATATGTATGGCTGATTCACTGTGCTGTGGAGCAGACACTAACACAAGGTCGGACAACAACTACACTCTGGTAAAAGTCAATTAAAAAAGGGAGGGGGCACTAACAATGCAAACCAAGTACAAGCCCTGACCTACCCAGCAGGGATGGGTCAGAACATATAATGAATATTGGGGCTGGATTTTTTTTTTTCTCAGAATATGGTTTCTGTGAAATGTTTTCTGAATATATAGCTACTATGTCCTAGCCCTTACGCCTTACTTGTGGTTTGAAGGTCATCTAGTAACATTTAATCCCTTTTTCTTTTTCAAGTTTATATATGTAATCTTTTTGTCTTTTTGGTGCCCTTTAAAAAACAAAAATCTTTAAGCTAGAACTCTAAGCCCTCAGCTCTTCGATACCAGGGAGACTGGGTTGCTTTGAGGGAGTGTTACCCTGCTCCTGGAGTTAGACTCTATTATAGAAACCCTCCTGTGGAGAATGGCCAGGGTTGAAAGGCTGAAATAATTTTAGCAAAGCTTTGCTTTAAAATTAGCACGAAAAAGAGGTCCCTTTGAAAGGAACTGTTTCTTTTTTTTTTTAGGAACTATTTCTATATAAACGAAAGCAGACAGCCAGCTGCGGTACTTTATGTATACTATACTTGATTAAATTCTCACAAGACCATGTGACATCAATGATTCTCAGATGTTAAGTAATTTGCCCAAATTTGCACGGCTTACAGGCAACAAAGCAATGATTCCAACCCAAGTCTGACTAACTTTAAAAGCCAACCTTTTCTGCCACAAAAGCTACCTCTTCTAGCTTACTTTCATTTTAAAATCTGCTGGCACATAATTTATTATTCTTCAAAATTAAGACAGATAAAAATATCACACACACACCCCACAAAACGAAACACTGGCCAAAACCAAACTTCAGAGACTAACACGTTAAAACAGGATGCCTTGCTACCCAGCTGGACTAGTTAAGAGCATCGTGTGCGTGCTAAGTTGCTTCAGTCGTGTCCGACTCTGCAATCCTGTGGACTGTAGCCTGCCAGGCTCCTCTGCCAAGCAAGAATACTGGAGTGGGTTGCCATGACCTCCCCTCCAGAGGACCTTCCCAACCCAGGAACCTGGGTCTGCTACCTGGCAGGCGGATTCTTTACTGCTAGTGCCACCTGGAAAGCCCATTGGTTAGAGAAATTACAGCTTTATAATGCAGACTGGTGACAAAAGTACGTCTATCCTATAATGCGGCCTGCTCCCTATCAAACTGGATTAAAGGAAAATTTCAATATGCTTATATTTCCTTCAAAACAAAAGCCTTTTCTCTCATTTTGCATAAAAACCATCAGCTCATCAGATTATTCTTTAAAGTGCTCTTTTATTCTATCACTGAAATCCTTCACGTCAAATTCTTTGAAGACACTCTGCCAGCAAGATGAGCTAAGAATGATCACTGCTCAACTATATTATAAACCTTGACCATAAAAGAGCCAGGCTAGCTGGCAGCAAACCTTTAAAATTTTATTAAGTCCTCGGATCACGGTCAGATCCCAATACTGAGGTCAGAGTCCATGGACGGACCTAGTGAGTACATGCTGAATTAATACAACTTAAAAGTCATGATTCAGTTTATACAATCTTTGCACTGTAATATCTACTTTTGAGTCAACTATCTTGGATCCCAAGAACAGTACCAAGAATTCAAAGACTGCCTACAATGACTGCAGTTACTTACCAAGCTGCTCCAGGAGGTCATTAATAAGGTTGAGGAGGTTGGTAACAGAGTTTTTGGCTTTTCTAGCATTGATCTCGGCTTCCTGAGCAGCCTGTGAAGCCTGTACACCAAAAAAGGATAAATAATAAATGATACATTTTCATTTTCTTGAAATATCTTTTCCCAATGAGCCAACAAATTCAATTTTCAGATGGTTTCCCTTCTTTTAACTCATGAAACTATAATCTCTCACTGTAGGAATTTTTTGGGTCATATCTTCATGTTGAGGATGTTGCTATTTTTAATTCACACGATAGTCATAAAGAGGCAGTCATATGCCTACACTGTATTTGTATTTCAAAGATCAATGTTATTATTTCCTTTTGTCATTTTCTTACTCAAGAAATACATGAAGGTGTTTTCAAAATAAAACCCATCAAGCAGAAACAAGTTACTTAAAAAATATTTTTTTGGTTCTCTGTTTCTCCTTTTTTAAAAATTAAACTAAATTTATTTATTTATTTTTCGGCCACATCATGTACCATGTGGGATAGATCCCCAACCAGGGACTGAACCCATGACCCCTGAAGTGGAAGCATGGAGTCTTGACCACTGGACCACCAAGAAAGTCCCTACAAGTTACTTTTTAAGGATGAATACAAAAACTATTAATATATATTAGAACTAAAACATGTTCTCCAAGACTTATCAGAAATAGCCTATTCTCAGAAAATTTTCATAATTATGTGATATTCTTCTAAAATTCCCTCTCCCCCTGTAATCACACACATACATACACATACAAACAGACAATACAATTTACATTAAAAAAAATCAACCAAAGGTAAATCTATTTGGGAAAATTCCATGAAACCTGAACAAATATGCTTCTGCATGAGTCACAGGAAATGGCAATGGAAGAGGAAGTGTCTAAGGATCAGAAAACAGATGCTCTCACAAATAAATCTGGTCAGGATATACACCAGTAACTTTGAGCTTCCCACCACAGAACTGTTTTTCCTAGTTTTTTTCTGGGTCAACAGAAATACAAAACTTTTGGGTAGAGAAACAACGTGAAAATTTTAAAAAGAAAAAGAAAGCAAGAGGAAAAAACCTTCACAAATAAATGATTAATTTCTGTTCAAATCACAGCCGCTACCACTGCATCTTCCCAGGCAGTCTGCAAATATCCTAGCAGAGATGCTGGCCCTTGGACTGCAAGTGATGGCATTTATCCCGCTGTCTGCAGCCCCCTCTTCTAGGAACAACTGTGAGCTTTCACCCTTTCCCTTAAAAAAAACAGGTTACAGACTCCAACAATACTGATGCAATTCTGGCCTTTCAGGCTATTTAATTATAAATGGGATAGTACATATGAGGGTGCCCTGTGCTCCTTATAAATTATTTACCAAAAGGAATAAAAGATAAATCTTTTTTCTTCTTTGAGGGTATGAAGACATAGAGAATATATATCTTTCCCTTCTTTCAACAAGCTCTAAATCTCATGTTTCTATGACTGCATTAAAAAAAAAAAAATCCAGAGACCCTCAGCACATATGAAAAACACATTTTTACTATGTGGGAATTTTCACTTGAGACATGCCTTGCTATAGAAAATTCAGATAATCCAAAACAAAAATCAAAAAATGCATAATAAAATAAGGTATTTGCAGAGGGATACTTCTGTTATCACTTCCCTAAGGACTTCTTCACTAAATTAACAAGCTTCATAGTTCTTCTTTCTATTCTAAGGTGAAAGTGATCTACCATGATTATTTATACAGTCGCTCAGTCATGTCCAACTCTTTGTGACCTCATGGACTATAAAGTCCATGGAATTCTCCAGGCCAGAATACTGGAGTGTGTAGCCTTTCCTTTCTCCAGGGGATCTTCCCAACCCAGGGATTGAACTCAGGTCTCCTGCATTGCAGGTAGATTCTTTACCAGCTGAGCCACAAGGGAAGCCCAAGAATACTGGAGTGGGTAGCCTGTCCCTTCTCCAGCGGATCTTCCTGACCCAGGAATTGACCTGGGGTCTCTGCATTGCAGGTGGATTCTTTACCAGCTGAGCTATGAGGAAAGCCCACACAAAGGAGTTCATGTCTGTCATTACTGTGATTATAATCAGATTGAACTGGAAAGAAATTATTTCCATTGTGACTCCACTAGTGTTTCAAAAGCAAAATATTGCATAAAACAGAAAAATGGACCCCAGTCCTTCGGGGGACCATGCATTCACAAGTCAATTTTGTTACAAACAGCTATGTATACACATCATCACAATAAATGAAAAATTAAATTGGATATAAGTTTGGTATGCTGTGTCATCTTCAAAACTGTCCAAGAAACTGGTCTTTGCTAAAGGCAAGTTGCTGGGAGACTAAGAGGAGGAAGGAAATTAACTTATCATTGCATTCCTTTTTTTCCCCTTTCTGACTATATCCCATTTATGAATTACCCATTCAAAAATATAAATACATACTTTCAAATGTCCTAAAACCTCAAATGTGTAAAACAATGTTTTGCTTTTAATTGAGAGTAGCTTTGGGAAGGAACTCTTGTGCAACCATCTGGCAGAAGATCCAAATTCTTTGCCTTCTATGTAAGTTACTAACCCAATTCTTGACCAGGAAACACAATTGAAAACAGAAGTCAACAGGAGAGAGACTCCTCAACAAGTCAGGAACCTTTCATCACTAAACACCCTTCACTTTCTACTCGTTACCAAAAATTCCAAAATCACTTACCATCCCTGCCATCATCATGTCCTGGTCAGCATCCTCTTGTTTTTTCTTCAGCTCTTTTTCTGCTTCCTGTAGTTGTTTCAACATATTATTCACCTCGTTATCCAGATCCGTAACTTCTGCAAAAGTCCTTTCAGCTTCTGCCTTGGTGCTGGTAGCGTTCTAGACACAAAATAAACAATTGCTGATGAAAAAATGTTTTCCTTTCTCTAAAGTATTCTGCCACTCAAAACTAGGATCCAGAAACTAGGCTCTAAACTAGGACCCAGAAACAACAGGGCAATAATTTGCCCTATAATTTGTACTGTTAGTTGAATTATGTTGTCATTTATTTGGGCTACAAATAACAGTAATGAAAAAAATAACATTACCACCTAACATAATAACATTTTACAAAGCACAGCTATTTGTATCCTTTTATTTAATCCAGTTAATAAAAATTCCTGTTTTATTGTTGCCATTTTTAGTTGGGGTCACATCACTGCAACATTTAACTGGTGTGTACTTTCCACCGCATCACACTGATTAGACTCTTTCACATGGATAATTTTCTATTCAAAGCTAGTCTCATTCTAGTTGGCAGTTCATTATCATGTATAAAAAGTCCATAATCCTGAAATATATCTGCTCTAAATAAACTAAAAATGTGTGTGATTTTCAAATACATGTAAGTTTACAATCAGCTCCAATCTCTCCTTTAAATGAAACAAACTGATCTTTAAGTAGGAGAAAGCCAGCCTAAAGAAGTTATTAAGATGCATAGAAAGGATCCTGGCCTGGGCAGCTACAAAAATTCTGAATAGGTGGGGCTTAGGAATGGCAATATGTTTGTTTGAAAGGGGGGCCGTGAAAAACCGTATAGACTTGACACTCTATATAAGACAGAAAAAATAAACTATCCATGGCAGGGAACTGTGTTTATTTCGAAAGAGTCTGATTTTTTTTGCGGGAGGGGACTCTCTGGGTCCCTGAAGCCACCCCCCTCCTCACAACTCAGACTCCTGCCACTGAGACACAGAAGAGATTAGAGAGTAAAGGACCCTTTCTTTCTTTGGTTGGATCACACAGTATGTGGGATCGAGTTTCCTGACCAGGGATTGAACCTGCACCCCCTGTACTCGAAGCATGGAGTCTTAACCACTGGACCGCCAACAAGTCCCAAGAGACCCTTTCAATAACTCTCCCCTCTAATCACCATGGTTACCTGCTCTAATGCTTGGTTTAAAAAAGAAAAAAGGGAAAAAGGAATGACAAAGATGGAGTAATGTAACTTTACTTGAGTCAAGGAAAAAATGTGTAAGACCTTTCGGTGGCGGGGGCGCGGTGGGTGGGGGTGTCTGGGAAGAGCCTGGAAAATGACTGGAGAATAGATAACATGTGAGCAAAGGCCTGGTTTCGGACAGGAGGGGCGTGCACACCTTCTGGACAGCGCTCGCAATCCTCTCCGCCTCGTGGGCCTTGTTCCTGGCCTCGGTGGCATCTGCCGCAGCATTGCCCAGCGCCTGCTGAGCTTCCCTGGTCTTTTCATTGGCTTCAATTATGGTCCGGTTGATGGCAGGGATTCTCCTTAGGGCTTCCTCTGCAGCCGTCTTGTTATCATTCACTCTCCTATCAAAATCTAAAACAGGTTCAAGGAATGCATTTGAACTAAACTCTCAACAAGCCAAAAGGGAAACTTTCAGGGAGCTGTCACAAGACTTTGTTTTATGAACAATGGAAGTCAGGGGAAAAGAATGAAAACAACATGGACTGAAATCTTAGGAGATCAAAGCTCACAGCTCTATATGGAAGATTCATGGGAATGAACACCTGCTTCTGCAAGGCAAATTCTCACTTGAAGCATTTATTTTCATGCAGAACCGAGGATGCTATCACCTCCACCTCAACCAATATTGAAAGATGCAGCTTATTCTGTGTTTGCTATGTGTAAGGTAATGAGTTGAGATCTTCATGAATTTTTGTAACTGCATCATTGGTATATATTAGAAAACTGAGGACTAAAAAGGTAGATCATTTTTTCAAGGATTCACAGTAACAGTAAGAGGTAGATCAGGGATTCTAACTCAAACCCACTGACACAGAGCCCATACATTCAACCATTATCCTGTAAAGCTTCTGTATTTACAGAACTTATATTTATCAGAGGCAAGTTCAAGGCTATACAATGAATTGAGTGTAGTTGTTTTTTATATTGGGTAAAGAAAGAAAACAAAGACTGAGATGCAATTGGCAGAGAAAATTAAAGATACTCTCAATTTACCAATACTAAGCAGATAAATAGGTGTATCTTGGTTATAAGAAATATACTTTTTTTTTTTTGGTTTTCATACCATGGGTAAAATGACATGAGCTCTGGGATTTTTCTTTGAAATACTTGACACAAAAAAGGTAGGGAAGGTGTTGGGGGATAAAGTAAGTGCAGTAAAAATCTTAACTGTTCAATCTGAATGACAGGATTTATTATACTATTATCTCTCATACTGTATGTGGTCAGAAAATCTCACAGTAAAAATCTTTTACAAAAGAAAGAAAACCAGCCTAACGGAGGACATTTACCCTGTGACCTCACCCTCTCATACCTTTCAGGTTGTTGAGAATGTCATTGGCTTCTTGTAAGGTGTTTCGTCCCTTTTCGGCAGCTTCTTCCGCAAGAGCCTTGGCAGCATCAGCTCGGGCGAGGAGTTGGTCGGCAGTCTGCAAACACATGGCAGGTCAGAGGACAAAGCCTCCCAGGTAAAGCCCTTCTCTCCCCTAACAGACCAGGCACCTCCGGGCCACCCCACTCTGACACCAGCCAGCATACAGCAGGTTACGCCAGGGCATCGGCATAGCACCCTCCTCTGATTTCTTGTGTATTTTGTTGCTTCTGTGATTTGTGGTGACGGTTCAGACACAGCTTACAGTCAATTTCAATTTTTGCCTCACGAAATGAAGCAATCTGCAAAGCAAACCAACCTGCTGTTCAGTCTTTCCTTTCTCCAGAAGGTTCTTTACTTCAAACTCTTTGCCTCTCATGTCCTCTCTGAGGTCCTCGTAATCTTTCAACTTTTGGTCAATCAGACGGTCCAGATCTTCAGCTTCCTTCTTGATTTTATTTGCCTCATTCTATGAAAAGCAAGTAAGATCACATATGTTAGAAAAAAACAACCTAAACTGCCCAAAAGATAGCCTCAGTAATTCTGTAATATTTAGTAGATAGTTTTGAAAAGAATAGCACAGGGCAAGATTTTATGGACTTTTTTAAGAGAAAAAAAAAAAGGTATATCCTACCTATACACAGTGAAATGCACAGTACTTAGTTTAATGAGTTTTGACAAATATATTCACCTGTGTAACCAAACCCCAATCAAGATACACAGTATTTCCACCCAGGACATGCCCTTGTGTCTCTTTCCAGTCCATTTCCCCACCCACCTCTCCAACAATGTGGCTGTCGCTGGTCTGTTTTTTAAATCATCATAGATTAGTTTTGCCTATTGTCAAATTCCATATATATGAAATCATAAGTATGTACAAACCTAAACAGCATATTAAAAAGCAGAGACATTACTTTGCCAACAAAGGTTCATATAGTCAAAGCTATGGTTTCTTCAGTAGTCATGTAGGGATGTGAAAATTGGACCATAAAGGTGGCTGAGAGCCAAAGAATTGATGCTTTTGAGCTGTGGTGCTGGAGGAGACTCTTGAGAGTCCCTCGGACTGCAAGGAGATTAAAACAGTTAATCCTAAAGAAAATCAATCCTGAATATTCATTGGAAGGACTGATGATGAAGCTGAAGCTCCAATACTTTGGTCACCTGATGCGAAGAGCCAATTCATTAGAAAAGACCCTGATACTGGGAAAGACTGAGAGCAGGAGGAGAAGGGGATGACAGAGGATGAGACAGTTGGATGGTATCACCAAATCAATGGACGTGAGTTTGAGCAAGCTCCGGGAGATGGTGATGGACAGGGAAGCCTGGCGTGCTGCAGTCCATGGGGTTACAAACAGTCGGACACGACTGAGAACTGAACAACAATGACAACAGTATGTACATGTCTGAAGAGATTTAAAACATTATGATAAAAACAAAGTCAAGACCTCACACATAAGAATGGAAACTTAACATATTTCAAGTTTAATGTAAAAAATATACGATTTATATAGAACCTGGTGTGAGGATTCATGATTAGAGTACAGGTGAAATAAAATATCATCAATTGCCAAATATTTTGCCTGCCCCAAAGCATCCTGACATAGTTCTTTCATTTAAATCACTATTATTTCTCTTTTGTTCAAAAGCAGATAGTGCCTGGGAGCACGATCTAGGTGTCAAATATAATTTGGATTTAGGAGTGATTATTCATATCACTAAAGGAGTCTTTTCCATTTAATGTTTATACTCACAGGATTATTTTAGAACTCATAAGTTCTCTTGTTTCAGGCAAGGCTTTACTGGGGCCCCGGCTGCAGCAGAGAACAAGTAACAGGCTGCCGTGCTCGCTCGTTCACTGAAAGGGGTGAGCTTTCCCTGGTATGGGGTGAGGGCCGGGCTGCACTACCGTATCTAACCTAGAACTCTGACTTTACCAGAGTCAGCGGGAGCTCAGAGGAGGCACTGGGCGGGCCAGCACCCTAAGACCTTATGGAGAAACCCAAACTCAACAGGGCCTGATGACAGCTGAGGGGCAGTCAGAAGCGCGCTCCCCCCAGACAGGGGGCGTGCGGGCGTGCGTTTGGGGGGGAGAGGGTGGGGGCGGCAGGCTGTCAGCCCACTACCTCCAGTGCTTCTGAGTCCACAGGAGTGAGCAGGGCTACACTGGCGTAGATCTCCACCGCTTTGTCACCAGCCTTCTTGGCCTCCTCGTGTACACGGGCGGCTTGCTTCTCCAGATCCTGGGAGATGTTCTTTGCTTGTTCATACCTAAAGAGCAAAAGATATGACCTAATGAAAACCTACATTCCTTTTAGCATCTTAATGCTCACCAGATTCATTCTAGTTTAAATCACTGTGACAGTATTTTCAAAACTTCAAAGAAATGTTATATTAAAATGCTATTATTTAATACCAATACAGCTTACATTTCTGTTTTACCTCATCACTTTATAGCATATACCATACGCTTTCTTATTTCAGACACCTTTTAAATATATGTAGCTTATTTTCTCTGCTTATTCTGTGATATTTTTTCTCTTCTCATTTATGCGGAATTTTAAGTATCATGGCTAGTCTTTACCATTCTCTGCTGATACAGCAATTGGATCAAATAAAATCTCTGTGGCTCTAGATCCTTTGCTCTAATTACTGCATCATTTCAAAAGTATGATTAATAAAAGATACCTTACTGCATGAATGTCTGGCCTGGATTCACCAGCATTTAATTCTTCATTGAACTGGTGCCATTTACAAGAACAATTTAAATTATACTCACTTTCTATTAAGCTCTTCAATCTCAGATGCTGTTTGATTTTCTCCTGCTAGCGTCCTCAAAAGCAGACTGTACGCCTCGGCTGAGGTATCACTGGCTGTTTTCGCTACTCGTACAATGTCATCAGCTTCTTGTTTATGGCTACATAACATAACAGGAAAAACAAGTCATGAAACAGAACCTTTTAATAGGGCAAGAAGCAGAATTCAGGTAAAGCTTACCTTATTATATACATATACTGCCGCGGGCAGAGTTCCATAAATATTGACAAGTCTTATACATTTGGAATTTTATCATTTCAGTGGGGCTGAGTTTATAAATAAGCATTCTGTAATTTGAGAAAATGACACTTCCCAGGAAGATTAATGATATAAAATAGGGACAAATGCTTTTACTTCTTAAAAATTACTTTTAATTATGGCTATATATGCTGGCAAGAACTCATTTCTCTAGTCATAAACACAAATCCCAGACCCCATCTTTAATGGCTACTCTGGTTCCGTTACTACCTAATCTTAAAACCCCTTTGACGATTCAGATTTCTCACATGCAACCTAGAAGAGCAATTCAATGCCAAGTGGCAAAGAACACGTCAACTGGGACTGCTGAGTAACTGCTAAGGTTTTTTTTTCAAGCTCTAAAATTTCATATTACATTGTCACACTGCAGTACCTGGCCATTCTTTTTGATCTGATAAACTTTCCTTCAAATTTCATGCAAGAAGTACACCACAATTAATTTATCTCTAAGACCTAATTTTTCTTGGGAGCTTTCTCTAATGTTTTCAGCTGTCTTGTTTTAATCAGAAAATCCAGCTCTGAAACCATGAGTGTTCTATGAACTAAATTACAGCAGTTCACACACTCACATTTACAAAGAACAGAAAGAGAGCACATATGTTAAAGCAAGAAGCCAATGCAGTTGCTCAGACATTGAGGCTAAAATTCTATCAGGTTTTACTTAAGCACCCTAGACCCATGAGGTCTACTGTTCTGCAATGCATTTATAAACATTTATTGAGTACTTATTATATGTCAGACATTATTTCAAGCACTGGGACTTCAGCAATGAATAAAGCACACAAAAACACCTGCCCTCACAAGGATTACATTTTAGCAATTTTATTTTTTTTTAAATGCTTTAACTTGATGCCTTCTACAATTTAAAGTCTTCTTAAGAAATTGCCTTACTTTTAATCAGGAGTGAAATGATCTGTTTGGCTAATTTTCACGTGTACTATGGGTTGTTAAATGTTTTCTACTGAAGCTTGAAAACATTTTTGTTAAAAATTTCAAAATTAAAAAAAACAACAACAACGACAAGTGACTTCAGTGGTGGTCCAACAGTTAAGAATCCGCCTGACAATGCAGGGGGACAGGGGTTCAATTCCTGGTCTGGGAGGATCCCACATGCTGCAGAACAACTAAGCTCACAGCCACAACCACGGAGTCTGCGTGCCCTGGAGGCCTGTGCTCCGCAACGAGAGAAGCCTCCGCAGCGAGAAATCCCACACTGCAGCAAGGAGCGGCCCCCACTCACTGCAGCTAGAGAAAAGAAGACGGGCAGCAGCAAACACCCAGTGCAACCAAAAGTAAATAAACAAAAAATTTTAAATCAATAACCTTAAAAGAGCAGCTAAGTTCTGAGCTTCTTATCTATTAAAGATTAAGTTTTCAAAATTAAAAATCTAAATTTTCCTTAGATATATAGGTACAATTTCCCCCACATCATCATATTCTAATATTCAAAATAAATATTCTAATATCAAAGTGAAGGGAAGAAAAGAGTACATGTAGTTCTTTTCAGAGTACAGTACATAACATTTCAGAAAAGAGTAAACTTTGCAGAAGTAATTATGTGGGAAGTGTCTGTGGGTGTAGGATGGAACATGTACATGGCATAACATAAGTCATAACTTAATCATTAAAAAGGGATCTAGAGGTTACCGTTCAGCAAGCTTCCGTGCCTCTTCTGCCAAAAGGGTCATGTTGTTGGGGTCCCCTGTAGACTCTGGCTGAATGATTGACTGAAGAGGAAGCAAACAAAGCACTGATCTCAAAGGGGGGGATTATTTATATTAATAAACAAGTGTCAAAACTATATCTTTATCAATATTATTTAGAGAAAGAATGCCTCTTCATTTAAGAGATCTTCAGTTAATACCAGCATCCTTGACTACAGATTATTATTTCTATTTTCAGCAGAGAATAAAGAAAGCTTAAATTACCTAGAAGGACCAAAACTAGAGACAGGACCCAGATGTCCTTTGGTTTTAATTCAGTTTGGGATAACTATTTCAAGGCAACCATGAGCAATGTGGCTTTCTTTCTCCATGTTAAGAGACAAATAAAAAGATACATGGAGTCAATTTATCTGCGGAAGCACTCCACTCCCAGTAAAGACTTGCTGTGAATGACCCAAGGACCCTCCCAGTCCCACCTCAGGCTGTCCCAGTCACTCACCACATTGGCGATGGCAACCTTTGCTTTCTCAAGTTCTCTGGATGCGATCTCAATTAACTGCTCTGTGCTTTCTACCCGGGAACGTGCTTGTTCAGCCAAGTTTCCGGTCTCTCCAATGGTATTGCGGATATTCTGTAAACGGCTAATCTGGCTGAATAAGGTGTTATTCACTCTCTGGAGGCGATCCATCAGATTTTGGTCTACATCTGCAATAGCAGTGCAGAAAAAAGTTCATAAATTATCTGAAGGGGGGGACACATCATCTCGTATGAAATCTGAGGCACTGCTTCTCATCACACTTCCAAATATAGCATCTTTCTGACAAGTTTCCCGGAGCCATCAGCAGAGCTGGTCAGTCCTCACTGTGCCCAGCAGTACCACCGCTGTTACATTCAACCATGGTCTCCGATTGTGTTTAACTGGAGATGAACACACCATCTCTCCCACTTGGCAACGAGTCCCGCCATTCTTACTCCACACAGCATCCCAGTCTTATACAATGGCTGGCCAAGAGAAGACACTCAAAACATAATCTAATGGAGCAAAGATTTTGACACTCCAGCACATGCAAGGTTGAATCATAAAAATACAATGTTGGTAAAAGCACTACCAGCCCTGAGAGCTGGACAGTTTTCTAAACTAGGAAAAAAGTCAGTTCAAAATAGAAGTTGAAATACAGCACTTTAAATTCATTTTTAAAATTTTATACTAAGTAGACTCTTGCTGCCACCCCACACATCCACGTAATTTCAGACTGATCTCTGTTTTTGAATAGTTCTTCGAATTGTTCTTTCTTAATTTTGCCCATTCAATTTAAACCTCATAGCTGTACCCTAATCAATCAAGAAACATATATAAGCCCATACAAAGATAATTCTGACATTATTAAAATTCTCACATGTCATAAGGTTATATTAATATACAGGAGCCATTAAGTCAATCTTATTCAAACTGACCAGTTCTTAATTCTGCATGATGCTAGTGTTGGTATCTGAATTTTCCAAGGTATGTAAAAGAGATGAGAAGTTGAAGTCAAGATCAACAAAGGAATACAGGCTTGGAAAATAGCATCTTGGAAGCAAGGTCACCCAATCAACATACACACAAAGATGATAGACTGCGAAATGCTCATCTAACTACAGAATGACCCCGTTCAGAGATTACTTAAACAATTCTCTGACAACCCAAAGATTTTTAACAAAACACAAAATAAAAAGCAAGTTGAAATCATGGAGAATCACTTAGATTTAGGAAGCAGCCAATGAAGTTACAGAAGCCCCTTCCATTTCAAACTCCAAGAAGGTAACCTATTGATCTCTCTGGCCAGTTCTTTAGAGAAACAACAGTATCCCCCCCAAAAAGGGAAGAGATAACCTAAGTGGACCACTTCAAAGCCCTCTAATTCCAACTGTCCACATGTACCACACAATCTCCTTTCAAAACTGAAGAATAAACACAAGTTTAAACTGCAAATGAATACTTAGGGAGAGTCTGAAAGGATAAATCATTATGAAGACATTCTTATTCTCAGCTAGTTTGAACCTAAGTGGGAAAAGTTAGCCAGGAACCCCATGAACCAGGACTCAGTGGGCATGGATTTTAAACCCCAGCCTCACTCTGGTGGCTCCCAAAGCGAGCAGAAGCAGGAACCCATTATGAGGTGGCTTGAGGGGGAGATGCGGTGGCTATGGCTCCTATTAGAGCTTCGTCCCACAGAATCATCCTCTCGGGCAGAGGAAAGGCTGTAGTCTTTGTGGCTGAAAAGAGCCCGATGTGCTGCGGCTGCACCGAGGTGTGGAGCCTGGATGAGCGGCAGTGCCGGCCAACCTCGCTTTCTTGCCCCTGACTGAGCTCGAGATGCTGGCACCAGAGCTGCGTGCCACACCCCACCTCTCAGGTGGCTGACCAGCGCTTAAGAACGACCACCCCACATTCAACTCTTCAACGGATATGGCAGGACAGATATGAATTTGTTGTTACAGGAGAATACGTTAATGGAAAAATGTGTGTCAAAATTTGAAAAATTAACATTCTAAAAAAAAACCCCACCATTATTTATACAGAACAGGAAACCCATAAATTCTTCTTAATCTAGGTTTAAGACTTAAAATGTAACAGCTGAAACAAAAAACATGTTTTTGACATCTCATTTTATTTTTCCATTTCTAAAAATTTACCTCATAGAACAATTTCTGGACTGTCCTACAAAAATTAAACAAACTTGCCCAAACCAGATACATAGAATTTCTTCCTTCTATACCTCAATCATTTTATAAAATCTTGGGGACATTTACAACAGGAAATAAGCAATATATTTAGTTTTCATTGACCCGTACCCGGACAGGAAGACTTCTCTAACTCGTGGTGGACATGGAGTCAATAGGGAAGCTGATCGTTGCAGCCCCAAGTGTGTTAATGTTAACGCGCACTTGCTGTGAGTATCTGGCGAGCACCTGGGTCTCAACGATGGAGAAAATCCAACCCAAAAGTAACCTCAGACCAACAGTGAGCACCCTGATAGAAGGATTTATAAAATGCTTGGGTTTTAACATCTAGCCATTTTGATGTAATGGGAGAATTATTTTCTGCTTGGTGTATCTTAAAACAGTGACAAATTCTGTTCTACATGTTTAACAAATAAAATCATTCATATTCTAAACATAGTTTAAAAACTGAGAAA